CTTTGAATCCTTATAAAAATATCTTGGTAATTAAGCCAATGATAGGGACAGTCTTGTGGTGTAGCAGGTAGAACTGTAGCCTATGACATCGACATCCCATACAGATGCTGGTTTATGTTCTGGTTGTTCCACTTCTGATCCAGTTCTCTGCTAATGTGCCTAGGAAAGCAGCGGAAGATGCCCAAGTATTTGGGTCTCTGCACCCACTTGGGAGACCTGAATAAAGATCCTGGCCCTGACTTTGGGGCTGTTTCGGGTGTGAATCAGCAGATGGAAGGTCTGTCTCTCCAATTTTTTCAAATAAATAAATAAATATTAAAAATAAAAGACAAAGATCTGGGTCAAATTCCAGTTCTGTCTCCTGCTAGATGTACATTCTTGGGCAAATTACTTGACTAGCCCAACCCTTAATTTTCTCCTCTATAAACTGACCATAATGAGTCTCTATAAGGTCACTGGGAGGGATGAGAATTTATACATGAAGTGAAGCATGGCAGGAACATATTGTAAGTTGTATTTATCAGTATATCTAGGAGATATTCACCGTTGACTTAAAACTCACATAGTTTTTCTCAATATGATGAACAGATATCAGAGTTTTTCATCTAAAAGTTCTACTGAGATTTCTTTTCCTAATTCATCTACCACATTGGCTGAAATTGCACTGCAAGCTTAACTTGGCTAAGTGTGTTTCGTTCATCTGTCAACAAGATTCTAAGGTTCAAACTAGGCTGACAATTGTTGAACATGGACGGAACAGAACACGCGGCCCGACAGCATCACATTTCACACCTCAGAGGGTTCTAGCTACCAACAATAACACCATATATCTGTCAGTCAAACATAATTATAGGGCTTGATGGACTGACGTATATAAAACAGCCAGTTTCAAAAGGTCTCCTGGTTCTTTTCTGGCTACCATTATAGGACTTGCTTGATTCTGCGGACTGTGAGTATTAGAAAGGCACTTCCTTTGGGGACAGAAGGACAAAGAGACTGCATGCAAAAGACCTAAACTAGGTACAAAATTTGCTCTGTTTGAAGGCTCTGGAGGGATTTTGTAATCTTTGGTCAAAGTCTTCGCTTCTTATTGAAGGAGAAATATATTCTTAGGATATCCAAAATAGAAGTTATGATTTTAGTCAAGTAACACAACGGTAAAGCAAATCACTCTAGGAAATACAGCTGTGGTATCTGAGCTAGGTACTCCAAGTGCCTGCAAGGAGTCCTTTCCAGCAGTGTCCTAATATGTATCACCTTTATGAGAAAGAAAACAGAAAAAAGTATCTGCTATTCACATAAAAACAAATTACATATGTTATCACAAAATTGCCCATTGTAGCCTTTAATAGTGGAGCCCCCTGTGGTAGTAATATCTTTTTGTTAAAATGGATAAGGCTGAATAATAAGCTGAACAGCTTCCTAGAGAGCAAATTGATATGTGAGGTCTAATTCAAGCTGTATTTCAAGTTTTAAATTATAAATGACCTCAATATGCAAGAACATAGAAGCTGACAGAAAAAAAACACCACAATATATGTGTGTGCGTGTGTAGTTAGGGGAGAATCAGTCTCATATTTGTTTGCTTGTGTTAGTGAGTAGCCTAATGCTGTCTTTTGAACTACTGAGCACATTTCAGAACAAAGTGGAAGTGACTGACAAGAACACACACATCAGTACCCCAGGTCACACTTCATAATCTCTGTGTTCACAGGAAGCCACCACACCACAGATGCTCAGGGCCCCAAGGGACACTGAAGGAGTTACATGGCAGACTATCCGTCTTCCCACACCACCTTTGTCCCTTACATTTAGATGACAGAGTGGAGGCAATGGCAATTGCATTAAAGAGCAAACTTTGGCTTGATATTTTACCGTGATTATTTGTGAAGATAATTGAATTTTTTTAAAGACACAAAATTAGGGAAATAATTTTTCTAAAAATAAAATTATGTAACCTGTCAAGTTTCAGTTCATGGAATAAAAAAATACACAGAGAAGTAAAATGGGAGCAGGTATCCTATTTCTGAGCGCCTGGGTTTGAGTCTTGGCTCCACTCCAGATTCCAACTTCCTGATCATGCAGACCCTGGGAGGAAGCAGTGATAGCTCAAGTAATTGGGTTCCTGCCATCCATGTGGGATACCCGGGTTGAGTTCCCAGCTCCTGTCTTCAGCCCCACTTCAGGGCTGCTGCAGGCATCTGTGGAGTGTTTTCTAAACACATTATAACTTCTTCAAAATGTAGATGAGGTGGGGTAATCATTAATGCCTACTTTACAGAGTACCCAGTTCATGTTGAATTTACTTTTAATGTTTGTAATTACTTATGTCAAGGAATATGATTTGATCCTTGGCCTGCTGAACTTGTGTAGCAATGATCTACCCAATAGCATACTTGTAATTCATAAGGAACAGGGATAAATTAGAGAGTATAAAGTGCCTAAAATCAGATTTTTTCTAATTGAACTTTTTGTTTTTTTTTTTTTTTTAATTAATTTATACAAGTTTCATATATTTCAAATATACACATTTGGGAACATATTTACACTTCTCCCCCCACCTCCCACCCAAGCTGCAGTCCTTCTTCCTCCCCCTACCTCTCCTATTCCCACTCTTAATTTTTACAAAGATCTATTTGCAGCTTACTTAATGATTGTATAGTTCACCTTACACTAAGTAAAAGAGTTCAACAAATAGTATAAAGAAAAAAAAAAAAACTGTTCCTCAACGGAAGAGACATGGACTCCAAACAATCATTGAATCTCAAAATATCCATTTCACTCCTAAACATTACATTTTAGGTACTCTATTAGTTACCTCTGATGAGGGAAAACATATCATTTTTATCTTTTTGGGACTGGCTTATTTTACTAAGTATAATGGTTTCCAGCTACATCCATCTTGTTGCAAAAGACAAGATTTAATATTTTTTTTTACAGCTGAGTACTACTCCATAGTGTATATATACCATAATTTCTTTATTCAGTCAATAGTTGATGGACATCTGGGTTGGTTTCATATCTTAGCTATTGTGAATTGTGCTGCAATGAACATGGGGATACAGATCACTTTTTCAGATGCTGATTTCTTTTGGTTTGGGTAAATTCCCAGAAATGGGATGGCTGGGTAATATAGTAGGTCTATATCAGATTTCTGAGGTATCTCCACAGTGTCTTCCATAGTGGCCACATCAGTTTAAATTCCTACCAACAGTGGATTAGGGTACCTTTTTCCCCACATTCTCACCAGCATTTGTTGTTTTGTTGATTTCTGTATAAGAGCCATTCTAACTGAAGTGAGGTGAAACCTCATTGTGGTTTTGATTTGCATTTCCCTGATGGCTAGTGATCCTGAGCATTTTCTCAAGGGTCTGTTGGACATTTGAATTTCCTGTCTTGAAAAATGCCTGTTCAAGTCCTTTCCCATTTCTTAATTGGATTATTTGTTTTGTTGTTGAGTTTCTTGAATTCTTTATAGATTCTAGATGTTCTAATTGAATTTCAACTTTGCGAAGCTTCTAGCTTCAGTAGTTTTCCTCTGTGAGCCTCGGTTTTCTCAGCAAACAATGAGAATGGTAAATATCACTGGTTCATTTCAAAAACAAAATGAATATAGTATCAAAGCCTAGAACATTGGCTGGCATGTCCTAGGGGCTTACTATTAGTTCTGTTTTCTTTACATATATAATTAGAAAAGGAAGGCCACTTGAAATCTTTTTACAGAGAAAATGGGTTAATACATGGCCCAAGAGAGCAAGCGCTATACTCTGATGACTATTTGAATTTTTGAGGAACCCAAGGTGGAAACACTACTACTCTGAACATTGCTTTAAAACAGAAATGAGACTTCACTTCCTCTTGGCACTGCTAATATGTATTCCACAAAAAGCCTCGAACACTCTACTTTGACAGTAACCTCTGGAGTTTCCTCTGGGTCAGGACAGTTTGTTTCTAGTTTTAAATACAGGGGCTTAAATATGAAGCCAGAGAGTAAAGGCTCCTAGACCTGGGGTATGCCATCTGCCTAGCATTAAGCAAGAGCTGAGAGTCAGAGAAGCAGAGTCATTTTAAACATGATTTATGTTTCGTCCTTGAATGTGGCAGGAAGACTGCAAAAGATATTTGGAAGCCAATGTTTCCTCTGAATAAAGTAAATGAGTGTATGCTAAGCCTTTCTCCCTGGACCATGCTGGCCTGTTAGATAAGTTGCCAATGTGGAGTCAGTAAACCCCAGAGCAAATTGGCTATCTGGGATGAGAATATATCTCAAGGCCAATGATCACTGCTACCGTTAAATGCACGGTGCACAGTATAAACACTGGGGTCAGACAACAGATATCCAGGATATTACTCAAAAACGTATCTAGCTCAAAGCTGACAAGATAATCTGTTCCTGTGAGTGCAAAGCAGACTGGAATGCTGCAGCTATGACCTACTCAAGGGAAGAAAAAAAGTGAAACTCTCCAAGGGCTCCATCTCAGCTCTTTCTGCAGGCAATGCTCCAACAAGACTTCAAAAGAAGTGCTGCCTAATGGGGTAGCCCTGCATCCAGCCCACAGAGGGTATCATTTCCATGATCATGTTGCCATCTACATTTGATGGACTGGCAAATGCAGATATTTCAGATACAAATTTAAAACAATGAAAAAAGAAGTGTGAAATAGCTTGGAGATTTGCTTGCAAAAAGAAACCTCAAAATTCCAGGTAAAGTGTTTAAATTTCAGAAACTTCATAAATTATTTTAAAAGTCCCAGGAAGGTAATTAGTGTATGATCATATCAAAAATAAAAATTTTATAACTGACAGATATTTCATCCAAGAACCACATGATCAAAAAACTACTCACTTTAAAAAAAATAATATTCCAAACTTAAAGTCTCTTAGAAAGTTTGTAACATTTTTCTAATTGAAGTACTGGATATAATATGCTATTTTAGCACAGTTTTAACATATGTGATCCTGATTAATGCAGAAGAGTCTGAAGCGGCAAATATACTTACAGGAGGACCTATAGGCGGCGGTGGGGGGTGGTGGCAGTGGAGAGATAAAAAAAAAAAGAGAGATGAATTAATGAATATGCAAAATGTTAAGACTTAATAAAAGATTAAAACATCATCATAACTATCAGTGTAATACAATGGGCATGGGAGCCAATTAGAATCCTTTGATTTCTAATCATTTTTTTAGGTCATGAATCTTTAGAAACCATCTCAAATGCACTTATCCACAGTAAAATTTTAAAATAAATTGCAGATTCTCTGGGCCTGTTATGGACTACTGAAAGGTTCAGTTATCTTAATTCAAGGTTAAGGTTATCTAATTTACAAGTTTAGATGCAATGTGAATCAGGAAGCTCTTTGGCAATTTATGATGGACCAATTATAGAGAATTGATATATAATTTTTGAGTTTGGCAAAACAGCCAAAATGGAAATACTTATCATTTGTAATAAGAATTTTTTTTTACTCAACAGCAGTGAAAATATATGAAAGACTGAATCCTGATATTTATACAGGTTTCTTAAGACTATGTATTTTAAAGAAAATGCAAAGTCTAAGAAAATGTGAATATTTCACATGCCACATGCTTAATTAAAACATCAGTTCTAAGTAGACAGGAGGTTGGGAATTGACTTTTATGCTTCCTATAAAACTATGCAGAAGTGCAAATTTTCTTTTTTTCCTCAATTCTCTTTCTTTTGATATAAATATCTTTTCAGCAATTATCCATTCCACTAATATTTTATGATTTTTTTCTCAAAGCAAATTTTAAAAACATTCTCTGTAATAAAACTTTGTACTTTGTGAAGGGCTACCTACACAAGTTTTGAATAATTTACATTCACTGTACTTTAAAGATAGCTTTTCAGAATATTCTTAAAGGAATCAAGGAGCTATACTGACACAGGGAATGAAACAACCTTATTATTTTGAGATATTTTTCCAAATAGAACATGAAATCTGTCAAAAGATCAGTCTGCTATCTTCTGGTTTCAAGAGATCAATGTTTCTACCACTTCAACACTTGGTGACTGATTATTTTAATACTGAGAAATGTTTATGAAAATACTAGGAAATAACTGTTTATAACATGCTATGGTAGAAACCTTAAATTACCTACTCTTGCAAGGAAAAACTGGTGGCCTGATAGGACTTAATATGGTCATTTACATTTTTGAATTTGAGAGTTTACAAAACAGGTAAAACAGTGAGTGAACTCACTTAGTGGTGTATTTTGGCTTCAAAAATATTTTAATTTGATTCTTCTGTTTTTCTTTGCCTATAGGTATTCAGCCTGAAAGTGAAAAGTTACTGCAGTCCAGTCAGGACAATTGGTTCTGTTTCAAGTTCATCAAAATGCAAGGCCTTAGCAGAACCATCTGCCTGTTTGGGGTCTCCATTGCCTCAACTACAAAAGGACAGCCTTGGATTGATCACTGAGGCTCCTGTCATCACTAAAACCCTAGAGCTATGCAAGCAGGATAAAAATCCCCAAATTTTGAAAGGAGTAAGAATAAAAGCATGACAAATTAGGCCAGTTGGATGAAATAAAAATAAACCTTTCCAAGACATGTGCCCCCGTGCTCCAAGCCAGATGTTGTTGCAAGGACCTAGGTTTACTGACCACCTACAGGGATGGAGACACGGGTTACACTGCCACACTGTGTGCAGCTAAGAGCTCCTTCAACTGGCCACAGAAGACACACAGACTTCACTTGACCTGATAAGTCAAAACTGGTGCCAATGGCTGTTAAATTGTCATTAATAGCATTTTGTGCACTTCTCCTTCTTACAGTTTGGTGGAAATGAAAAGATAAAAACATTGTCAGCCTAGCAGAGAGGACTTAAACACACATAACCAACAGGACAGTATCATCCTTAATGAGGAGGAACAGATGCGGGACCCAAGCAAAATGTGAGTGACATTGAGCAGCTGAATGGGACACTTACCAGAGTCTCCTCTTCGGCCCCTCTTACCTCGTTTCCCTGGAGGGCCTGCAATAAAAGAATCATTTGCTGAGTGTGGATTACCTTTTCTTCTGGTTTTAAAATGGATAGTAAATAGTTTCTACATATTTTCTCACTTCAACCACCAACTTCAGGAAAGGGACCAGATACTTGTAAAGGTCAGTGGGGTCTTTATTACGTCTGCAAAGCTCTGAAGCTTTCTTTAATTGTAAAAGCTACTTTAAATATTTAATCATACAGCATTACTTAGGAACCTGAAAGATTCAGAATTGTTGCTCATCCCCCTTGGATATTATCAGTAAAGTTCTGCTAAGCAAATTGGTGAGGTTAAGACTTCACATTTCTTAGGAAGATTTCTTTCCTGAAGGTCTCAGTACTACAGATGAATACATCTGTACTGAGAAATACAGATGATGTATTTTCTCTTCAGTCAGGCCCATTCTGATTCTTCTGAAAATACTGCTACTCACTAGTTAAATACATAATATATATATTATATATATGAGTGTATATATGTCTATATAAGAAAAATGGAAATAATTCTTATATATATATATATCTACTTTATTACATGTGAATATATTGGAATTTCTTGTATTGAAAATCACCTGAATAAAGAATAAAGCCTTACATTGGATTTTTTTCTACAAAGATTGAGTCATTACTCTCATTTAACAAGTAGCCTTTATGGTGATCCCAATATACAAGTGAAGAGAAAAAAACCTTTTATTTTCCAGTGAATTGTCTGTAAAGACCACCAACTTAGTTTATATCAGATTTAGCACAGGATTCTAGACATTCATGACTTTCAAGCCATTATTCTCAATTATATAATTTCTGTCCTTATTTCCTTGGGTAGAAATAGCTTCCACTGAGTTATGGTTCAGGCAAATAGAAGAGAATAATTAGCCCACAATGAGAATTGAGGTCTTAAAATATTTGCTGGGAGAAAAAAGGCCAACGAAAATAGAGAACTGCCTGATTTTAAAGAATGAGCTGCTAAGTAGGACTGATGACTTCCATACTCCAGAAAGTTCAAGGCAGCACAGGCCTTAGCATCCAGCCGACTCTCAACGTGATCCTGAGCTACCGGCTTCCACATGGAAACACCATCATGAGAAATGAAAACATCAGTGGGTCAGTTAGTGTCCCCTCAAATCCTTAATGCAGAGCAAGTCTGGCCACCTGCGCTTTGTAACAGGGCTAAGAAAACTTTAGCCAGTAAGATCAACATAAAACAGTAGAAGAAGCAGCTTTACAGCAAAGTCCAAAACTGTCATTAAAATTTCAGATTCCTTTATGTATTTTGGAATAAAGAGGCGTTTTTGTTATATTCTAGGGATTCTTGGTCTTACTGGAATCAGGAAGAGAATCATAAATAGTAAACAAACCCAGTGGGAGTCTAATAAGTATGAAAAACATACGTTTATCACCTGCTGAAACACACACACATATAGATGTAGATATATTTTGATGTATACAACTTCCATAAGATTAGGAATCAGATTTTTTCCATTGCAAAACCTCTTAACTATTTGGCAACCACTGTCTACTTAAGATGTCAATGGTTCACACTGTAGGACTGTTAATAGCAGCAAATGGTGAAAAGATGAAGATGAGAATTTTCTAGCACTGAATATAAGCAGCGTAAGATTGAAAGTATACTTCAAGAGGCAAGTAAGAATAGTTCACACTTAAACACATGGGAGAAGAAGCTTAGGATATTCAAGTATAAATAAAAAGTACTAGAAATTACAATGGAAGGTACCTCAAATGACTGCTATTTCATCCACGACAAGGGTGACAGCAAGGTATTAATTTTTATAACAAAGCTATAATTATTAAGTATTGGGAATTCACTTATTTGCCATTCTACTTCTGACAAATGTTTCTTTTTAAAAGTAAAATTTATCTACTAAAGTTTATTGCACACATGTTTAAAAAAAGAACTTGAAATAAGCCTTAAGAAATCAGATTATGAAAAAATGGACAAAGAGGCATGATATCTTTTGAGTAAGAAAAAAATAACATTTATAAACATATCTGTCTTACATATTCAATCAGACGGCTTAAAGAAACGAATTGAATGCTACAGAAAATCTGTTGATTGGGGCAGGTATTTGGGTAGGACACTGCTTGCAACTCCCACACCCTACATTGATGAATCTGGGCTTGAGAACCAGCTCCCCCTCTGATTCCAGCTTCCTTCTCATGTGCTCTGTAGGAGCAGCAGGTAATAGTTCACATACTTGCGTTCCTGCCACCAAGGGTGGAAATCTGGATGGAGTGCCAGGCCTCCAGCTTTCGCCTGGCTCAGCCTCTGCTCTTACAGGCATTTGGGAAGTGAAGCAATGAATGGGAGATCCCTGTCTGTATCTCTGCTTTTAAAAGAAATAGTTTTAAAAATCTGTTGGTCGTATTGATATCAGAAGAAGAATAGGGTATAAAGACACTGAAAACACTGGGCAGGACAGATGTCTACTGGATATGATGGCTTTTACAAAGAATATCATACCAGTTGGAAAAAAAAATGAAGCTAACCTAACCTAATGAAGATAGGACTCTATTGGATTTGGGACCGGCGCTGTGGCATAGTGGGTAAAGCCAGTGCCTGCCATGCCGGCATCCCATATGGGTGTCAGTTTGAGTTCTGGCCACTCCACTTCTGATCCAGCTCTCTGCTATGGCCTAGGAAAACAGTAGACGACGGCCCAAATCCTTGGGCCCCTGCAGCTGTGTGGGAGACCCAGGAGCTCCTGGCTTCTGGCTTTGGACGTTGTGGCTAACTGGGGAATGAGCCAGCAGATGGAAGACCTCTCACTCTCTCTGCCTCTCTCTGTCTCTCCTTCTCTCTCTGTGTAACTCTTTCAAATAAAATAAGTAAATCTTAAAAAAAAAAAAAGGAAAAAAAATCGATTGGATTCACAAGAAAAATAGGAGGTTGAAGAATAGCCTGTTATAACCACTATGGGAAGCAGAGGACTACACGGAGCATTATATGAGCTTAGTGAACTTGTAAGTTATGCAACACCCTAGCTAAAGATCCTGCCTAAAAAGAGAATAAGCTGAAATTACAGGAAAAGTCTACAATGTAGATAGGACATTTTGATCTTCTGAATTCAAGGGAAAAGAACTAAAAAATTAAAATGATGGTATGAATTTGATAATGGATAGCAGGCAAACATCAGAGTGAGAAGACGAAAAACCACAAGACAAATAATAGCTGTTTTCCAGACAAAACCGATGTTAACAATAGTTGAACAAGATAGTGGTCATTTTCTTTCCAAACGGAGTGATCAAGTGTCAGCCAGGCATGAGCTGTATGAACAAATATAGAAGCTGGAACATGACTCCTATTCACTGAATTTGGCCAGATCCTTCAACAGAAATTCTCAGTGAATTTATCAGCAGAAAGACATGACTCTGCAAAGAAAAGTAGTTCAAGAATATGAATGAGAAGAAACAAAAAGCACTCAGCAACAAACGCAGTGAAAACTTCCAAGCAGAGAGTACTTGCAGTAAAGAATGCATTGCTGGAAGCAGAAGGAGACTACAAAACCAGATAACTCTCCAGGATTAGCAAATTCATAGCAACTGGTACTGCTAACTGTAGAAATTTTTACTTAATATATACTAATTTGAAAAAGAAAAGGAAAGAAAAATGGTATGGGTTTGGTGATTAGATAAACCTGGTTAGAATCCTGACTCTTGTATGAGGATACTTCAAAATGTTCCTGGAAAATGGAATTAAAAGATAAGTTTATCTTGATACAAGAAAATTCTGAAATCTAGGCATAGTTCTTTCATTTTTCATCAACTTTTGTAGACCTTTCAAATGCATAGATCTCAAATTTTTTGACAACAAAATAAACTTAACCTTTAATTCCATTTTCCACAGACTTTTTCAAGTACCTTCATGTTTATTAGCTCTATGGCTTTGGGAAAATCAGAGAAATTCTCTGAACTCCAGTGTCCTTTCTCTGTAACATGAAGCTAATAAAAAGAAAAACTTTCAAAACCGAAAAAAAAAATCAGTACTGCTTAGACTTTAGAAAATGTTTTTTACTTAACTTTGCAAAAGAGATATTCAAACTGTAGGCCTGATATGGAAACTGATAAAAATCAGACATAATGATGATGCTTTAAGATCAGTGAATATAAAACCAACTGCAGACAGACCAAGGTCTCAAATAATAAAATAACATCATAGGAAGTTTCTTAAGCCAAGTCAGTTCTTTTGGGGACAACTAATATTGTTTGAATGTTCTACTCCTCAGTCCTCAAGGATAGTTACCTGTGATAAGGCTCTTCTCTGAAGTTAGATTCATGCCTACAAATAATTGTGTGCCTGCCAATGGGCCTTCATGTGGTCTTGAGAATGTGGTCTATCCAATGAATTAACGAAACCTGTCAGTTCTCTTATTCAGTTCTGTTCAATCTTCTCCACCACTATCAGCATTTTAAGGCTGAGCTTAAACATAATCTTTCTGAGGAAGCCGAAAAGAGATCTTCATAGGAATTTTAATCTATGGGTTTTTATTTTATTTGAAAGGCAAACACACACACAAGAGAGAGGAGAGAAGAGAGAGAAACACGTATCTTCCATCTGCTGATCTACTGTTCATTCCCCAAATGCCCTCAACAGCTGGGACTGGGCCAGGCCCAAATCAGGAGCCTGGAACTCCATCTGGATCTCCATATGGCTGGCAGAGACCCAAGTACTTGAGCCATCACCTGTGGCCTTGCAAGATGCACATTAGCAGGAAGCTGGAATCAAAAGTAGAGCAGGGTCTCAAATTCAGGCACAATGATATGGGATACAGGTGTCTCAAACAGCATCTTAATTGCTGGGCTGAATGCCCACCCCATTTTTACTTCTTATAACCATTTATAATTGATCACACAGGCAGAATTAGAGCAAAGTTTCAGGATTTGTAATTGGCTGAGTGTTTTGTTTTAATTTGACCTCTTGCTTTGTGTTTCAACCCACATTTCTGACTATGTCAGCTTTTTTGGAGGTAAGCATC